ACACTAAAAACCAAATGTGGGGTTAAGCCAATTTTTTTGGGGTTCAAAAAGGGGGGGCCTTTGAAAAGGGGGGCCTTTGAAAAGCTTTTTTTTTAAAGGTTTTTTTAGGATTTTTAATTTTTTGGTTTTTTGGGGGGGTTTAAAGTACCCCTTTTTAAATTTCGGTTGGCACAGGAAGTTCCCCCCCCCCCCACAACAAAGCAGGAGGTGATGTCGATAGGATATGGAATTTTTGTTTGGCCCCCTGGGGCAAAGTAGGAAGGAACGATTGCCCATCGGGGATTTTTCCTGCAGGAACAATCCTCCGTCCTCTGGGGGACTGACGGGTGGTCAATGGTTTCGTTCCCGCTAAGGAATTCAAAACAGGAGTCCCTGCCCCCCCCCCCCTGTCCCCGGTGTTTGCCATCGTTTGGGTTTTCGTCGCTTGGCAACGACGTTGTAAAACAAGCCGCCCCCCCCGGTGTTTGCCATCGGGGTTTGGGTTTTCGTCGCTTGACAACGACGTTGTAAAACAAGCCCCCCACTCGGTGTTTGCCATCGGGATTGGGTTTTCGTCGCTTGGCAACGACGTTGTAAAACAAGCCAATTCACTTCGTGAACTCGGCAACCAGGTTACCGTTTTTTTTTTTTACCTCGGTTTTTTTTTTTGGCGGTAACCATAATGGTGGTCGAGTAGATCATGTTGTGCGGGGTCGAGAACCCTCACTCCGCGCAACGGGGGATGATCGCACCATGTTGTGTTAAAATGGTCAAGCTTCCTCGAGGCAGTTACACAGTGCTTACAACTGTCTCTGGAAGTGAAAGCACCAGAAAATAAATTAAGTCATACGTAGCTCTCATCCGTACGCAAGGAAGTAAGCACAAGATGCCGAACACCCTTGGCAGGATGCAGCTCACCCTTCATGCGACTCGCCAAATACCTCACGGCGCTTCGCGCTTGGTGATGTGAGAGCCTGGTCCGGTGAGAACCCGGCGTGCTCCGTCCCGGCTTTGTAGGGATGCGAGGTCAATGGTCAAACGACTACGGCATGCACGACTATGAGTATGAGTACACCCCCCCCCCCGCAAATTTTTCCCATTTGTCAGCCCGTCTGGGAGATGTCCAAACTTCGTCACACACGAACCAGAGGCGTTGAGCATGCCTCTGTCGCTTTGGCATGTCCATGGGAATGATGGGAGTCTGCTGCCCTGTTCGTAGGAATCCCAGTGAAGAGATGCGTATCCCCGTCGCCCCCGTCACATTGTTATTTTCTATTTTCCACCCATCTTCATGTTTATTCGCCTCCCCTGCTCCTGTATGCGTTTTGTCAGATCCTGATGGCGCTCAACCCGCACGCGCGAGTGATCGGATGCACGTACGGAAACGTTGGAATACACGGTGCGTACTACGCGCACGCCGAAGAATGTTTGTGATGATGCCAATGTCGTGTGGGATTTCGTTCACTCACCCTCGTGTGACAACGCAGTGGGATTTACACAAAAAAACGATCACACGGGTGTAAGCAGTGTGGTACCTTTTGTGTCACCCCCCTGAGAATGTGCTGTCACTCACAAGACGCCACTACTGTAGGTGATAGTTATTGGGGTGCGGGAAATGTCGACAATGACTGAAAATACTCTCACAAGGCCCTACCAAGGATAGTGACTATAAATAGTGTGCTTGGTGATGATGTGTGCTCACACAGGATTCCACCTTCTGGAAGGAGGGTGGATGTTGGAGACGGCACGTGCTGCGTTCTCGCGCTATCTTCTAGAGAACAACGAACACTAAAAGGCGTACGTTGTTGTACGAAAAACGAAAACGAAAGGCAGCACACCGATACTGCCGTACCTGGACCGTGAAAGGACCATCACACGTTATTATATATACCAAGAAAACCAAGGCATGGCGTCAGACTTGCTTTCATCCCTCAGGCTAGAACTACAATACGGGAAAACAAGACAGAGCATACCAGCAAAGAAAAGACATGTGTATGCGTACGTGTGTGTTATTTTTGAAGTATCATCTTTATTGTTCTTAACTTTTGGTCTTCTGGAAGACATATCCACGAAAGCAGCTTCGTCCACGAAACCCGCAAAATCAGAAGAAGCACAGCCGACTTTGCACGCCCAGCATCATTGACTTACAACAGAAAAAACTATGATCCTCGCGTAGATAGCGACCTGAATTCGCGCCGACACTGCTGCGCTGCTGACCGCTGTTGTGTGCGTGCGGGAACAGACGTGTTGGGGGTGATGGACGGCCAGGGCGTGGCCGACTCTGGCACCATCGATGACCACAAGGACTCCATGACGGCGCTGGAGAATAACGCGGAGGCGGCGGCGGCGGCGGCGGCGGCAGAAGCGAGTGCCGTTGATGTTGGACACTCCCACGCGCACGCGGGTGAGAACTTAATTTTGAGAGGCTTAGAATAAACGGGGTATTGTTTTGTAGAGGTGGCCTCGAGGTTTTGTAACTTTCTTCCTTTGTGGAATGGAACACAACGGGAAAAGAAAAAGGCCCGATGCGGGAGGACAAATGAAGGATGGTTACGCTGTTCGCCAAGAAACACAGAACATAAATTTTTAGTGAACTCTTGCGTTTTTTGGACGGCAAGTGGCTCCCATCTCCCCCAATCGTCTGTCGGGGAGCTTCGATTCGATTCCCTCTGTGCACAGTTTTTCTTGTTGGTGTGTGACGTTGTGTATGTATGATTCCTCTGTATGACGGCAACGTTTTTTCCAGTTTTTCGGCTATTTTGGTGATCACCTTTACCAAGGTCCCGTCTGGCCAACGTTCGTCGAAGGCGATTTATTTTTCTCCTCTTTACGTTGCTGCTCAGAGGCCTGCAGAAGACCGAAGGGGGTTCTTGGAGAAGGCTGAAAGGGGTTGTTTTGATGCATGTACATCGCTCCTCTGTCCTTCTTTGGTGTCGTTGCTCCCGTCTCATCTCCCCCGAATGGCGGCGGGGTGTGAAGGCGAACAATATCGCCAGGAACAAGCAATGATGCACCATGTCGTCGTTGACAAAATTCTGCGATCGATTGTTGTCCGACAGTAGCATATGGGTCTCTTGGCACGGCGTTCCCTCGCTGTTCTTCGGACTGATCCGCTCACGTTCCGGCTTGGACCGCCTGCCGCGGTTCGTTGTGCGCTGTGGAGGGTGCGGCGGCAGCCCTTCCCCTCCGCTTGGTCTTCCCCTTCCTACAGACCTGTGCTCCCGTCCTGATCTCTTAATATTGTCAGCGGTTTCGTTGACTTGTGTACAACCGACGGGTACGCATATCTAAGCGACCCTTGAGTACAACCGACTGCTGTACACCTGACCCTTTGTATACAACCCGACTGTTAAATTTTTCTGCCCTCCAACTCCAACCCACGTATGCAAAACTTGTTAATTTTCTCGCGGCAGAGGAGCACACGCACAGCGAAGATAACGATACCATCCCGGAGTCGGGATGCGGTTCGTGCCATTCAGAGGAAGAGGCTAAGGATGAGGACGACGGGGTGGAGGTGGCCTCTTCCTGCGGTGGTCACAGCCACGAGCACAAGGAGCACGAGCACGAGGGGGAGAAGGGGCACGACAGCGACTGCTCTTCCGAGTGCAGCGAGGAGGGTCATGGACACGTGAGACAGACTGCTGGTTCGGAGTCAAAAGGACTGTGGAGTGTTAATAATGTTGATGTGTTGTTACATTAAACATACAGGGGCTGTTTTGTGTTCCGCTGTGTCGTTGCCGCTTGTATTGCGGTGCTGTGCCATTGGTGATTGACTCTGGATGAACTGGGCCCACTCCAAAGGATCAAGAGCCCGTGGTCACAGCGTGCCAGAAAGTGCAGTGTTCTACTCCATACGGTCAGGCTTAACGGTAGGCTGCACAATCACCCCCGGACGGATTTGCAAAGCTTGATTCCAGTGGCGGTGGTGCCTATATTGGCGGCGTTTAATCAGCCTAGTCGGGTACTTTCGGAGAACCCGAAATTTTATTGTGGCATCCTCTCGTTTCGCGGAGTGTAACCGAGCTTTGAAAATTAGACAGTCCGGTGGGGGGGGGTTATCTCTTAAGCAACCCACGTCACGACCAGGCAATCGGTGTTCTGGTTCCAACCGGGGCAAAACGGAGGAGGGCCGTGAGACTTGAAACGTTCTTTTTGTTTGTGAAACTGTTTCTCCGTGCCTACTACCGCGGCAGGACTTGGAACGTTCTTTAATGTTTGTGACGTCGTTTGTTCGTACCTACTGCGCGGCGGCAGTCTTGTTTGTGACCCCGTTTCTCCGTGCCTAACATACGAACGTCGGTGGCAGGACCACTCCCACAGCCACGGGCACAAGGCCATCGGGGACGGAACGACGACCGCGGCGAAGCGGTTCGGTATTGATAACTTCGTCTACCGACAGCGGAGACCGTTCAACCCAGAGAGGCTGGCAGAGCTGTTGAAGGTGATAATGCTGCTGCTGGTACATACGCAGAAGTGTTGCGTTGTTGGTGTTGTTGTTGACGTCGTTGTCGTTGTTGAGGCGATTGGAGGGCGACCCCTGATGATCAACGTCTTCATATGCCGTTGGCGCTGCTGTTGCTGTCGCTGTTGTAGTCCACACACGTTGTCTCCGCTCTTGAGGTTGATGGTGTTGTTGTCGCTGCAATCTGCTTAAATAATCCACGCACGTCATCTCTGCTCTTGAGGTTGGGTGATGTTGTCGCTTCAATCTAATAAATGGTCCATCCACGTCAGTGCTGCTCATCCACGGTCTTCTGCTACACGCGCTGTCAGAGTTAAAGCGATGACGTTGCTGTCGCTTTAGTAGTGGTCCACGCGCGTCCTCGCTGCCCTTAAGCTTTGAGCTCGCTATACCATTCGGTCTTTTGGCTCTTGGCGGCCGCTGAAGGCGGTGACGGTATGCTCGGCGCGAGCATCGGCGACAAGTAAATGTTCTCAACCTTTCAGCACCCCGCCTTCCCATGCGTGTTGACGTGGCTTTTCTTCGTCGCAGAGCATGCCTAGCTCGTCGAACCTTGCTCTCAAGGGGGTAGCTTCAGGGGCGGACGACAGCGCCAAAGCAGCCGATGGGGCTAGCAGCAGCACTAGCGACAGCGAGGCCTTGAGGATGGCTCTACGGAAGGTCGTGCGGTCGAAGGGGTTCATGTGGCTCGCCTTCAGCGACAAGGCGGCCATGTACTGGTCTCACGCCGGTGAGTAGTATTAATTACTAGGATTGCTTTTCGGCCACCTACGTGCCTGTGGCAATGCAAGTGTTCGCAAAACCAAATGATATTATCCTCTCGTTCGCGCCCCCCCCCCCCCCCCCCCCCCCCCCCCCTAAAAACCAAGGGGAAAAAAGCCCCCCAACCCCCCCCCCATGGGCCTAAGAAAACCCCGGGGGGTTCGGCCCCCCGGGGGAGTTTTCCCCACTGGGGGGTTTCTTCCCCCCGGAAAAAAAGGGGCCCCCCCCCCAAAAATCTGTTTTTCCCAACCCAAACCCCCGGGAAAAATTTTTTTGGCATTTTTTTTTTTTTTTTTG